GGCACCAAGTTCTCATGGCAACAGCTCTCTGCAACCAGACTCAAGCACCACTGAGCTGGTCTATCCCCAGGGTGTGAGCTCCCGCAGGAGCCTGTGGCAGGCGGCCCTCCCACAGTGACAATCACCCGGGCACCACCAGCAGAGTCCTTCCTGGGAGACATGCCCTGGAAGAGAAACCGGACAATCAGCAAGCGTTTCTGTAGGCTGGAAATGCACGTGCGTTTCCTCCGGTGCCATCTACGGAGGCCCCAGCCAGGACAGCCCTCACGGCGTCTGCAGATCCCAACCCAGATGGGCGCTGTTCCTGCCAGCCTCCCACTGGCCAGCTGCCAGCACGGGTGCAGCCCAGGCCTGCGCTGAAGGTTGGGGGAGGCCAGCTTTGCTCTGACCCGTTGGTTTCAACACCATCCGATTTCTCAGACTTTTTTTTTTTTTTACTCTCTACCCCTAACATGGAGCTAGAATTCACAATGGAGATCAAGGCATGAGCTTCACCGAGTGAGCCAGCCAGGAGCCCCTCTGAGTCTTAAGTAGGGTTGGGGGGTGCTTCTTCACAGGCCTCCCTGTGGACCACACGTATCACAGCAAAGCATGTTGTAACTCCCTACCTATCACAACCCATCACGTCCTAGTTTACCCACACCTGCCTCCACTCCCTACGGCTGCAACACTCATTTCTCTTCAATACCAGTCTTCGGGACGCTTGTCTTCGATAAGGCGGTGTGTAAGGGCGGTCTGTTTAACTCTTCATGGGGATACTGGCTCATCGTATGGGAAAGAATCAGACCCCAACACCTCATCATATTCAGAAATAAATTCCAGGTGGTTGAGTGAAAACGTTAGGGCTCTCTGAGAAAAGACAGCACCACGAGGGTCCTGGGGCGGAGGGCAGAACAGAGCACACATCACAAAGGAAAAGACAAACGGGCCTGAACACGCGAGTGTTAGTGCAGGGCACAGGTCACTCTGTGAGCTGTAAAGGCAAGACATTTGCAACATATTAACAGGCCAATAATCTGTATCCAGGCTGAAAAGAAAGTCCATCAAATCACAAGGAAAAAAACCACCAGCCCAGTGGACAAATGGGGCGAGGGCATTTCAGTCGGAGTTAATCCGACAAATCGATCAGGAAAACGTGAGGGTAAGAGGATGGTGAAAAGAAATGAAGAGACAAAGAGATGGGGGCAGGAGGGACAATGAGGATGATGTCCACCAGGGCCGATTTTATTCCACATCTTACAAGCATTTATAAGGCAGACCACAATGGAAGGAGTAAGCGCAGTTCCTCTAACAGGTTTACATTAGCTACAAACAAATCTCGTGATGCCTGGTAGTCACGGCTCATGCCATTAGCTACTATTGATACAAGAAGTTACAATCAACCAGAGAGTGGATTATGGGAGGTACAGGAACAAGGACCAACTAATACAATCAACCAAGCAGTGCATGTGGGAAGTCACCTAAGCGAGCACGCGACACGTAGCACAGACCCTTTCTCAGTGCTACTCAACCTTTCCTGTCCGTAACCCTTTATTAAGGTATTTGGACTTAAAGGGACTTAGACACAAGTCAGGGCCTGGTTTGGTCCTCGTCTCAAGCCTTATGGTGGCCTCCAACAACTGATGAATATGGAGGTTTGGCCTCGTGAGCAATGGATTTGCAGCAGCTGGAGGGGTCTGGAGGAGCCCAGGTACTGGCCTGGGGAGGGCCACGGTGTTCTAGGGCTGGACTGCGGAGCTCGCCTGGGAGGATACATTTGGCAAAACTACTTGTCACATGAATTTATTAGCAGCAACCACATGCTTGCAAATGACCTGTCACTGATTTGGTAACAGAAACCAGGATACTGCTCTTCGCGCCTCGGACCGGCCGAAACCGGACACTAAGGGCTGGTGAACATGCAGGGGAACGTCCCTCCAGCGGACGCGGCGACCAACGGTCACCGAGAAGCAAACCCGGCAGCAGGCTAAGCGCCCGCGCGTTCGACGGCGTCTCCAGGCCCGCGGCCGGGAGGAACCCTCGCTCGGACGGGAATGCCGCACGCGGGCCTGCGCTCCTTACCCGCCGAGAAACGCGGGAAACCGAGGAGCGCGCCTGGAAGAGGAGGGCCGCGAGCCGTCCGAGCGGGCGCAGCCGGCCAACGCGCGCCAACACGCGGCGCCGCACCCGGCTGCGCGGGGACCGCCAGCCGCACCGCGCGGGGACCGGCGCGCCCGCCCCACGAAGGCTTCACGCGCGCCCGGAGCCGCGCCAAGCGCTGTCGCGGACGCACGGCGGGGCCTTCTCTCTCCGGCCTCCCTGCGCTGCCCCGTCGCTCGCCCCCCGCTGTCAGGCCGCGGAGCCGTCCGAAGGGTCCCGCGCCTCCCCCGCAGGTGGGGCCGGGGGCGCGGGACTTCCCGACCGAGCCGCCCCCGCCCCCGCCCCGCGGGGCCCAACGCGACACCCGCTGCGGCGCGCGGGGCGGGCTGCCTCCGGGGGCTTCCGCGGCCCCGGGACGAGCCGCACGGCCAGCTGCAGGCAGTGGCCCCAGGGGCGGTCGGCCGGGCGCTCCCCAGGGCGGGGAGCTCGCGCCCGCGCCCCGACGTCTTCGGCTTCAGCCCCCGCCTGCCAAGGGGCGGCGTTCGAGGATCGGGAGGCCCCGGCCGGCCCCCGCCCCCGCCCCCGAGCTCCGGCCACGGCGCCGACACGCGCAGCTCTGCGGAGACCACACGCCGCGATGAGGCCGCCGGAGCACAGGGGCGGGGAGCGGAAGTCCCCACCACCGAGAGGCCGCCGGCCCCGGGGCGCCTAGAGCGGCCCCGGAAGCTCTCGGGCGGGGCCTCGGCCGACTTCCGGCCGCGACGAGCGGGCGGTGGTGCGGGCTTTGTCGGCGGGCCGTTGTGTCGCCGCCGGTGTCCGGGTGAGTGGCTGGCTTCCGGCCGCGGGGCGGGGGCGAGGGCGGCGGAGTCGTCGGGGCGGGCCGGGGTCGTGGGCACGGCCTGCGGCCGGGGCCCGCGCCCTCTCTCCCCAGGGAGCGCCCTGGGCACACACGCTCGGCGCCCGCGAACGCGCACCCTCCCCGCGGGGCGCCAGGCTCCCGCGCCCGGCGTCGCTCGGGTGCTGCTCCCAGCGCCTGAGGGCTGAGCCGCGGGGCGGGGACCACGAGTCCGGTGCGGGCAGCGCTGCGGTTCGCCCCGGGCCTGCCGCCTGTGTCTGGCGCCCGACGGAGCGCTCCGGACGGTCCTGGCGGAGGGACGGGGTCTGGAGGCCCTGGTGCGGGAGGGGAGGCAGAGCCGCCCCCGATGCCCGCTGGGGTGGAGGCGGGGCGGAATCGCGAGGACCAGACCTGCCTCCGGACCTCGGGCCCGAGGAGTTCCCAGGCGCGAGAGCGGTTTGCCGCACGGGGGCGGTTTTCCTAAAGGCTCTCGTTCCCCTGGAAGTCTTCATTGGTCCCCGTGGCTGAGTCCGCCCAGGTCGGGGACCTGTCACCCCCTTCTCGCTCGGGTTGCGTCACGGCGTCGGGAGTCTCGGCCTGAGGTTCCGCAGGAATGTCTCCTGGAGGCAGGCGGGGACCTCGGACCGTGTAGACGTGTGCTCATCACCACCGTGCAGCGCGCCTTGTCCCCCGGGCCCAGTCCGACGAGGGGTAGAAATGGGTGTTTTTTGCCCATCTCGGATCTGAGATGCCCGTGTGTCCCGGGCTTCAGTGTGCCTTGCCCCCATCCGCACAGATGGAGCCGTTCTCCTTACTGTGGACGCAGCATCTCACGGGATGTTAGTGCCAGCAGTGACCCCAGTGCCTCTCTTAGGGCAGATGGAGGGGGAACTGGGGGGAGGGACTGCCGCGTTTTCGCGCAAGCCCGCACCCAGGGTCCAGCCTCTCTGGCGGTGATGGCGATGGATTTCGGACTCCTGGGAAGGTCTTGGGGGTGATGTGGAGAGGGCAGAGCTGAGAAGGCCCGGACAACGCTCATGAGCCAGAGAGAGTGGTGGTCAGGGACGCCTCCCACCTGGAACCTGGCGGTGGCATTGAAGGGCTCAAGGAGCTGTCAGGCGTGGCCGTGCTGCCTCGCGTCCTGGAAGCTGACTGGTGAGAGGACACTGGACTTGTCAGGAGAGGAGAAGGTAACCGAAGTGCCCTAGGGTGGGATGGGGGGAGGAGGAGACAGCATCTAGCAGATGGTTTGGCCTTAAGCAAATCATGGATAGTTGTGAGAACGCGAGAAACGAGACACCTTGCATGGTGACTGGTGCACACCAGGTTCTCAGTGCCCTTCATCCCTGCGGGAGCCGGGGCGGGGCTGGGAGCGGGCGCGGATCCTCCTGCAGCTCCGGGCTGTGTCTCCCTCAGGTGCCCATGCTCTGGGTATTCCCAGGAGTGAAGCTGGGAAACCTTCCTGCTTCCTCGAGGCTATAAGGCACAGACAGGGGCTCGGGCCAGCCTGTGAGTCCTTTACCAGCACTCGGGACAAAAGCTCCTGTTGCCTGTGTAGGGCATGCCCCCCACTTGTCATCCCACAGCTCACAGGGTCCCACTCCAGGTTAGCATCCCACTTCCGTTTCCAGCTCCTAGGATTGCCCCATCTCTCTCAACTTCACCTGTTTATTTACAGTTTCACGTTACAGTTTATCCAGCAGATTCTGTGTGTTGCGACAGAAAGGTGGGTCACGGTAGCTCAGTACCTTGCAGAGTCACAGGCGCGTTGTGTTTTTACTTCCTTTTGTTCGTTCCATTCCGGTTTTTTCCTTTCTTTTTTTTTTTACATTAAGGTATGCACATTGATTTCTCTCTCTCTTTTTTAAAGATTTTATTTATTTATTTGACAGACAGAGATCACAAGTAGGCAGAGGCAGGCAGAGAGAGGAGGAAGCAGGTTCCCTGCTGAGCAGAGAGTCCGATGTGGGGCTGGATCCCAGGACCCTGAGATCATGACCTGAGCTGAAGGCAGAGGCTTTAACCCACGGAGCCACCCAGGCGCCCCCAAACTTTTTTGTTTAAGAAAAGTAAGGCTTAAACTATCAGCTTACTTTTCTAATACCCCATATGGTCTTGTAAAAGTGATAGGTGACACTTGGGAAGGGGAAGAACCTTCCGCATTGAGGAGCTGGGCACTGGAGGAAAGTAGACCTGGATTGAACCTTACTGCTGCCTCTTACTAGCTTAGTGATCTTGGACAATTGCTTGTCTCTCTTAGTCTCCGTTTTCTCATCTGTGGAGTAAATAATGGAGGGAACAGCTGCCTTGGAAGGTTTGGAGGAGTGTGTGAGACCGTGTGAGTCAGTTGCTCACCACCGTGCCTGCTGGGGTTCGAGGGGCCCTAGTAAGTAGTGCCCTGTCTCTCCTCCGGAGTTCTGAACTAATGAGGCACATGGCCAACTGCCACCTCAGTTCCGGGCAAGGCTGGGTCAGAGCATCAGACAGACCCCGGTGCTTGCTCACAGGAAATGCCAGCTGCTGGGGCCCCTCAGGGGCCACTCCACCGACCCTGTGGCTTAGAGGGGCAGAGCGTGTGTCCCCGTGGAGCAGGTCGTGTGCTGCCTTCCTGTTATTCTCCCAGACTTTCATCCTGCAGCTCCTTTCATCTCTGGGGAAGAGAAAGGGTCAGGCAAGTGGGCAGAGTACCTCGTGACAGCAGAGGCACAGGGACGAACGTTCCTTCCAGTGTCTGATGGGAGTAGGGATTCTGTGACCGCCTGTGCCGTGACAGTGTGCAGGGGACCAGGTCAGCATCTGTGTGGACAGACTTGAGGAATGCCGGGACATACGACAAACGGGGGAGAGGTTGCAGATGGACGAGTGTAGTGGGATCCCATTTCTGCTTTTGAAAATCGAATTTATGTTACTAAGTGTGTAATTGTATTTGTTCAAGCAGGTGTCAGGGGACGCGTATTGAAGCAGCTAACAGTGGTGACCTGTTGAATTGGCGGAGGTTCTCATTGTGTAGATTTTGTCTGTGTCGTCTACGCTTCGTTACTCGAGGTGTGTTTACAGTGCGTATCTGACGTGTGGTGGCTGCGGATTATAAAGATACAAAAGTAAAACGGGATGTAAAACAGTGATAGTCCTGATTTCCTAAAAATACTAGTGCAGGAAAAAGACCAGAGGAAAATGTTCAGTGGTCATCTTCGTAGTGGGGTTAAAGTTCCTTTTATTTTTCTTTTTTCAGGTTTTCTGTTGTTTCTGTTTTCTCAATTGGCATAATTTACTTATAGCTTGAAAAAATAAAGTAATTTTTATAAGCAGCCAAATACATATTTTTTAAACCAAGTTGTTGAGCCTTTAACTCTGAAGACCGTCCTCAGTGGGTACCTGCAGCAGCTTCGTCTGGGACGCGCCCCAGCTCCGCTGAGCCCTGCTGAGCCGCTCCCGGGGGCTGTGCTGGTGGGTGAATTAGCACACAGGCCTCCTCGTCCTTGTTGCCAGTCACTGGTGTGTGGGTTCAGTTTCTTCTTTATCACTGGGAGCCTTGGTCTGAGTAATCAGCCTGTTTCTTAGCATTACCTAAGCATTATTCAAGTCGCCATAACAGATTCAAAATAGTGTTTCTAACAAAAAAGTTAACTTCTGGTTCCACTTTGCCTACCTGGGTGGCTCTGGCTGTCAAGGCCTCCTGGGAGCCTGGCCGCTTTGCCTCATCAGGGTGTCGAGGTGGGGGTGTGTGGAGGTGGGGGCCTTGCGCACACGCATTCCGTTTCCAGCTCATTGGCTGGAGCTCAGTCATGGGGTCACAGCTCTCTTCAGGGGACTCCAGGAAGTGTAGTCATTGGCTGGGGGGCCACATGCCTTCTCATTTCCAGTTGTGTTTCTGTCACTCGGAGCAGAGATTCTGGGCAGTCTTGAGTCGGCCACAGTTTACCCCACTGGCCACTCTTTGTCCCACACCAAGTACTTCCTCTGGCCCAGGCGGTGGGGCGTGGCTCTTTCATCAGGTGCCAGTGCAGGTGCACACAGTCAGACTCTCAACTCATCCCCGCGCCGGCCGCCCGGACTGTTGTCTCCAGCACCCACCGAAAGCAGTCTGACCATATGAACTTGCCCCTCAGGGAGGGGAAGAATCGCCGCCCACGGCTGTGCTGGTTCCCAAAGGAAGAAGTGTCCTGACCAGGTGACCGCTAAAGGGAAGCAGTGCCAGGACCTGGGACCCAGCAGTCACTCCCAGGTCTACACCCAGCAGAAGCGAGGACCCTCATCTACCATGAGACAAGTACAGGAGTGTGTGCAGCCGCTCTGACTGTCACCCCAGACCACAGGCAGCTCAGGTGTTCGTGAGAAGTAAGATGGTGACCTGTGCACGCAGTGGTGTGCCGTGCGCCAGTGAGAAGAGTGCGCTGCCTGCGGTGTTGACTTCCGCAGGCGGAGTGCTGAGCAGGTACATGTCTGGGGGGACGAGTGTGTTCTGGAAGTGGGTAGTCGTGGTGGTTTCACGGTCTTAGGAGTACTTGAAACACACTCAGTTATGCACTTAAAGATGGTGAGTTTTATGGTACGTGTTCTCATTCAGCAAAAAATGGGTACATATTGGGGCTCCTGGGTGGCTCAGTTGCTTAAGATTTGACTCTTGATTTAGGCTCAGGTCATGATCTCAGGGTCGTGAGATCGGGCCCCAAGTTGGACTCTGCACTCAGCACAGGGTCTGCTCGGGATTCTCCCTCCCTGTGTTTGTGCCTGTGCATACTCTCTTGCTCAAGTAAATAAATAAAAACTTTTTGTTTAAATGGGTACATGATGAATAAAATGCAGGCACAGAAACATGTTGTATAATCCCGTTTAAATGAAAATTTCTTTTTTTTTTTAAAGTAAGCTCTGTGCCCAGCATGGGGCTGGAGTTCACAACCCCGAGAACAGGAGTCACCGCTCTGCTGACAGAGCTGGGGAGGTGTCCCTAACTGATGTATCCTAAATGGGCAGAATTCATCTGTACTAAGAGGGGTCGCCCTTGGAGAGGGGCCTTTTGGGTGGCAGAAATGTTCTGTGTTGGCCTGGAGTGCTTAAACTGGTGTCACAGGAGTTCAAGATGTGTGTGCTTTATGCAAGTTCTAGCTCACACAAAAGAGAAAAACATTTTGAAACGGAGCCCTCTTGGGGCCACAGAGCACGTGTTACCTGGTCACTTCCTGTGCTTCTGCTCCCATTGCTGCTGTACCCCCCAACCCCCAGCTTTGCCTTCAGAGGCAGGTTCTTGTCCTTGATGGCCACACTGGAAATATGTCTGGAAGCTGTCCCTTCATGGGGTGCAGAGCAGGGTGTGCTTCCCTCTGGTGCAGGTTTGGGGCAAGAAGTAATTGTTTAGGATCATTTTTATCTTTTTTTAAAGATTTTATTTATTTATTTGACAGAGGAGGGAGAAGAGTACAAGCAGGGGGAGAGTGGGAGAGGGAGAAGCAGGCTCTCCACTGAGCAGGGAGCCTGACGTGGGGCTTGATCCCAGGACCCCAGGATCACGACCTGAGCCAAAGGCAGACACTTAATCGACTGAGCCCCCAGGTGCCCCTGTGTGGCCTCGTCTTGGATGGAACTCCCTGGAAGTGCACTCAGCTGTGTAGAGGTTTCAGTGATGCGTCTGTAAGGAAAGCCGTATTGGACAGTGGAGTCAGAACTGAGGCTGTGGCCAGTCCCAGTGGAGCTCTTGGGTTGGGATAACACTTGAGTTGCTGCCAGGGCACTCTTGGTTCCTGTGATGGACCAGACATTGGCTGTGGCGTGGTAGGCATCTGAGATGGCCCTCCAAAATTCCTGTCCCCTAAGGTACACACACCTCCTCCCAGCTGCCGTGGAGGGTTTTGCAGATGTAAGTCAGTTAGGGGACGTAAGGTGGCAAGGCTCTCCAGGTGGGCTGACCTAATCATACCTCCCCTTGGAAAGCAGTTTTCTGCAGCTGGTGGCAGAAGAGAAGTCAGGCGTTCTGTGCACTGTTTCTAGGAGCCAAGAGCAGCAGACAGCTGGCAAGGACTCAGGGACAGTCCTGTAGTTGTAGGGAACTGATTTCCACTGGCATCTGAATGAGTTTGGGAACAGGTTTCCCAGCACTTCCAGATGTGACCTTAGCCTGGCCGACACCTTGTGTGAACAGCGATCCCAGTCACACTGGGCTGGACATCAGACCTTGAGAGGTGTGAGGTGACAGACGTGCCATTTTCTGCTGCTGTGTTTGTGGTGTGTTGTCCTACAGTGATGGGCAGCCAAGAGTGGGCTTTCAGGGAAGGGCAAGACCTTGGGAAAGGCAGAGTCCTCCCTACAAGTGGTTCCCAGCGGGGTGGAGATTTGGGGGTATAGCTCTGAGCAGGGGAGCTGGGCACAACACCCCAGCAACTGTAAGGTTAAATAACTCCCGACTGCACAAGCTTTTCCACAGTGACACGCCTGTGGGATTCAGAGTGCCATATAGATCACGAGCACCCCAGTGCCCCTGTACTCCCTGCCATCCTTATCTTCTCCCTAAAGGTGAGCAGTGTCTCAGTTCTCCACCATGGATTGTTTTTGTCTGTTTTTTAACTTGATGTGAACAGAATCATGCAACATGAACTCTTTCGTGCCTACCTTCTCTGGCTCACCTTTGCTTTTGTATAGCAGTTTTTTGTTGCTCTGTATTATTCCCTGGTAGGAGTACTCCTCAATCTGCCCATCCCCTTACTGGTTATTTTGGTGGACGTGAATGCTGTGAACATTCCAGCTCTAGACTTGTGCAGAGGAGCCTTGGTACCATTGAGTGGATGAGGAGGCGTGGGTTTTTGTGCCCAGATGGAGGTGTTCACTCTAAATTGGATCAAGGACAGTATAACACATGTAAGGAGGGAGGCCATGGCTTGGGTATAGACAGACAGATTGGTAGACTGGGTAGGAGAATATTGGCATTCTCATCTCATTTCTTCTCCTCTCATTGAGATAAACAAGGACATCAGCTGAGAGGGAGGAGGGAATGTTAGGTGAGAAGAGAGGACAAAGGAGGGGTGATCTCTTAGGAGAATGAGGAAAGTGTAGAGATTGCTGGTGGCTCTCAGGGTCCCATTAACCAAGGGATTGTAAGTGTAGAGAGAGCTCAGTTGGCATAGATGCAGACACAGAATGGGAAGCAAATGGAATTTAACCCAAGTTGGGGTTTTCCAGTGCAGGGATGATAGAGGAAGGGCAGGGGGAGTTAGGATGATTAGAGTATGTAACCCAAAATAAACATAATACTATAGAACATGGGATCTAAGCTGGGTACAGAGGGAAAGGAGGACAATGAAGAGGTGGCAAGATCAGTACATCTGTGTTTCTTTGGAAATATGTCTTAATTTTTTAAGAGTCCAAACCACATCTCTCCCCATCTACTATCCAGCCACTCTGTCCCTGGAGTTGGGTGTTGGAGGTGGAGCCCCAGAGAAGCCTTCTCAAGTGGATGAAGTAGGTAGCTAAGATGCACACTGGGGCAAAGAGTGTGGGCAGAGGAAGTAGTCCTCTTTCCCACTCTTTGAATGTGTTTTACCGCCCACCTGCTCCACTAGATTTCTGTCTCTTGACAAAGGGAAAAGATGATCTTATTTTCCTTTATTTCAGATTCTGACCTAGGAAACATGTGACAAGAAGGTGACTCTGGAGCCTGAATTTCTGAGGATGGAAATCTGCCTGAGAACATGTCAGAAACACTCACAGTGATGGAACCCCCTGCCTCTGAGTCTGGGGCATTCCCTGAACCCAGATTAGAGGGACTTTTGGGAAACCCAGAGGGGAGCTGCCCCCCTCAGGAGGGCGGTTTCAGGGGGGTGACGATTACCCATTGGAAGATCCAAGCAGGAGAGGCAGCTCGGGTGGGCAGTAAATCAGGAGAAAGCCCAGTTCTAAGCTCAAACCTCCTCCTTCTCCAGAGAGAGCTTGTGGAAGGGGAAGCCCATCAGTGTGAGATTTGTGGCAAAAGCTTCACATTTAACTCGGACCTAGTTAGACATCAGATTTCTCATGCTGGGGAGAAACCTTACAGATGTGAGCAGTGTGGGAAAAGCTTCAGCCAGAGCTCTCACCTTGTTGAGCATCAGCGAGTGCACACTGGAGAAAGACTCTATGTGTGCAACATGTGTGGAAAGGACTTCATTCATTACACAGACCTCGCTGAGCACCAGAGAGCACATACAGGAGGAAAACCATTCCGATGCATGCAGTGTGGGAGAGCCTTCCATCACAGCTCAGACCTGGTTCGGCACCAGCGAGTTCACACCCGGGAGAGGCCTTTTGAATGCAAGGAGTGTGGGAAAGGCTTCAGCCAGAGCTCATTGCTTATTCGCCATCAGAGAATTCACACAGGAGAAAGACCTTATGAGTGTAATGAGTGTGGAAAGTCCTTCATTAGGAGCTCGAGCCTTATTCGACATTATCAGATCCACACAGAAGTGAAACAGTATGAATGTAAGGAGTGTGGGAAGGCCTTCCGTCATCGCTCAGACCTCATTGAACATCAGAGAATTCACACTGGAGAGAGGCCCTTTGAATGTAACGAATGTGGGAAAGCCTTTATTCGGAGTTCAAAGCTTATTCAACATCAGAGAATCCATACTGGGGAAAGGCCTTATGTGTGCAATGAGTGTGGGAAGCGCTTCAGCCAGACATCAAACTTTACCCAGCATCAGAGAATTCACACTGGAGAGAAACTCTATGAATGTAACGAATGTGGGAAAGCTTTCTTTCTGAGTTCGTACCTTATTCGACACCAGAAAATCCACACTGGAGAGAGAGTGTATGAATGTAAAGAATGTGGGAAAGCTTTTCTCCAGAAAGCCCATCTCACCGAACACCAGAAAATCCACACTGGGGATAGGCCCTTTGAATGTAAGGACTGTGGGAAAGCTTTCATTCAGAGCTCCAAGCTGCTTCTGCATCAGATTATTCATACTGGCGAAAAGCCCTATGTATGTAGTTACTGTGGGAAAGGCTTTATTCAAAGGTCAAACTTCCTTCAACACCAGAAAATTCATACTGAAGAGAAACTCTATGAATGTAGTCAGTATGGGAAAGACTTCAACTCAACCCCAAACTTTAAAAATAATCAAGGTGTTCACCAAGAGGGACTTCCCTTGAGTAAGACCGCCATGCATGTGGGTGAGAAGTCTGCAGGTCAGGGGGAACACACAAATAACTTATAAAATATTTACTCTCCAACTCAGTGATGTTTAGAAGGAGTAGCATGACTCCTAACTGGTATGACTTTGGATGTGTCGGCTTTTTCCAAAGTCCTCGATAGGGCCGCTTTCAGATTGGGCTGTCACCTACCACTGCGCAGCAGCACTGGGCTGCTGTCCTCCCCACTACGAATGTGTGACGTCAGGAGAGCCACGTGACTGGACAGCTGATGGAGCTGGAATAATGCTGGGGGAGGGGCTAGGTCTAAAGAAGCTTTCTGCGTGTTACTGCACAGTTACAGTCCATCCGAGTTAAAAATACTTTTTAAAGCAGAACTATGTATCTAATCTTAATACTTAAAAGAATATCACATGGTTAATTTTGGTCTATCAAAAAGGCAAGTTGGAGAAAGACCTTCGTTATTTCAAACCACAGGTTGGTTCCCCGTTGTCCTTAGGATAATTTCCAAGCTCCCAGTCCTGCTTTCTAAGGCCTTTTGCTTCCTGGAATTTTATCTCCCACTCCTTAACCTCCCGCCGCAGCAGCTCTAACTGCTTGACATTCCCGCTTAACCCAAGCTGTACTTGCCTCCTCTTTGTCCTTGTCTGAACGCTCTCCACTGCACACCTGGTTAGCTCCTTACCAGGAGTCAAGACCCATGTTAGGCTCAGCCAGCTACCCCTCTGTGCTCGTGTTGCTGGCGTGCACTTCTGTTACTGCACTTGCTTTGGTGTATCAAAATGATGTTCTTATCTACCATCTCTCACTAGTACACTACTAATTCCTTAAGGACTTGGTCATAGTCGATGGGTTCATGTGTCCGTGGCACCTGGTGCAGGGCAGTAAGAAGCGTAGCTGGATCTGTGTGTCACTGGCTCTTCTCTCCCTTGTGCTGCTGTAGTTTACGTTTTTGGGTTTTGTTGTTTTGTAACAGTATAATTTGCTGGTCTGCTGGAAGTATCTTCTCTCTCAGCTCTGTTGATGTCTTCTGCTTCTGTGTAACTTGGAAGTTGTAAGCAGTAGCTAGTGGAAGACCAGCGCGCCTCGTGTTTATGCCTTCAGAGCTCACCCATGACCGTCTCCTTGCTGTTGGGGAGTGTTGTCTTCACCTGGCTGCCTGTGTATTTTTCTAATCCACTCAAGGGGCACACAATCGCAGTGCACTGCTCAAGGTTTCCTGTCTCAGCAGTTCCACGATTGACCTCATCTCTTATGGTCACTTTCTCTGCTTTCTGGCTCATTTTGTCATTTATCTGAAAATGTATTGATCTAAAAGGACTGGGTCTGAACACTTGGGAAACAGATGAAATTGTTGATTCTGATGGGGAAGACAGATCATTGCATAGAGTTAAGTGCTGAAGTAGAAGTTCCACATTGTGTAGGAACATAGGTAAGGAGGAGACTGATCTGTTGTGGAGGATCTGGGCCAGCTTCACAGAAGAGGTGACCCTAGAACTGAGAGAGCGAGTGCCATGGCAGCTAGAGAAGAGGATGACCTGGGAGAGGAATCTGTAGATACGGAGAGGGGCAGTAGACATATCTTTGGGGAGCTGTAGTACACAGTAGATAATGGTCTACCCAACTTTCAGTTGCTGCCTCTGATTTTCTTTTCTCTGAACATTAACAAAAACAACCAGTTTTGAAATTACATGACCCCCCCCCAATATGGGCATATTCTGAGTTTTTAAATTCCAGCAACACTAGAAACCTTCAGGGGTAAGTGATAAAGAGGGGCATACAGTACATCTTCTGGAAAATCATTACTAGAGATGTTACAGATGGTACAGAAGAGAGATTATCAAGGCCATTTCAATCAACTTTGGTGACATCTATTTTCCATACAGTAAAACATATTTAAAGTGTACAGAGTTTTGAGAAACCATATACCTGTGTAACAACCATTAGAATAAAGAAAAATAATGTTCTTATCATTCAAACAGGTTCCCTTTTGCCCTTTCCCAGTTAGTTGTGCCCTAGTCCCAAATACCTGCTTTGGGTCAGTGTAGATTAGTTTCACTTGTAGGGCTTCACATAAATGGACCCATACAGTATATAATTCTATGTGTCTTGACTTCTTTTGCTTTGGCATGTTGTAAAGACTCAACCAAGTAGTTATGTGTTTGGGTGTCTCTCTGCTGAGTAGTGTTCTATTGAACGGACAAACTTTTGTTCATCGCCTGTTGATAGAAATTTGGGTTTCCAGATTTGGCTTTTATGAATAAAACTGCTATGAGCATTTGTGTAAAAGTATTTATTTGGACATGCCTCTTTATTTTTCTTGGGCTAATGCATAGGAACTTAATTTCTGGGTTATGAGTGTGTTTTCATAAGAAATGGCCAAAAATTCTCCATAGTGGTTGCACCATTTCACACTCTTCCCACAGTATGTATGTTCCTGTTGCTTCAAATCCCTTGCCAAGCCTTGGTCGCGTAACTCGCCTGAAATGTGATCCGCCCCAAGTAGGTGTGATGTGTCTCTGTGTTTCTGATTTGGATTTGTCTGCTCCGTGGTGCTGTTGAGCACCTTTTCATGCGCATGTTGCCATTTTGCCTCACTTCTTTTTTAAAATTTTTTAAAGATTTTATTTATTTATTTGACAGACAGAAATCACAAGTAGGCAGAGGCAGGCAGAGAGAGAGGGGGAAGCAGGCTCCCCACCGAGCAGAGAGCCCGATGCAGGACTCGATCCCAGGACCCTGAGATCATGACCTGAGCCGAAGGCAGAGGCTTAACCCACTGAGCCACCCAGGCGCCCTAGAATTTTAGATTCTTTTTGTTGTTGTTGTTCCTTTAAGATTTATTTAGAGAATGTAAGTGGGGGGGAGAGGCAGAGTGAGAGAGACAATTTTTTTTTTTAACATTTTATTTGTGAGAGAGAGCTCAAGCAGGGTGAGAAACAGGGATAGGGAGAAGCAGATTCCCTATTGAGCAGGGAGCTGTATGCAGGGCTTGATCCCAGGATCCTGGGACCATATCCTGAGCCACAGACAGACACTTAACCCACTGAGCCCTCCAGGGGCCCCTGGAGAGAGAATCTTAAGCAGACTCCTTGCTGAGTGTAGAGCCTGATTCAGGGCTCAAGACCCTGAAGCCATGACCTGAGTTGAAATTAAGAGTCAGGCACTTAACAGACTGAGCCATCCAGGTGCCCCTGTATTTCTAGATTCTTAAGCATTTCCTAGGCAGATAAAGAATTTTACTTCTGATTTCTGATTTATATGGAATTGTTCTACCCATGGGGCACCTGGGTGGCTCAGTGGGTTGAGCCTCTGCCTTCGGCTCGGGTCATGGTCTCAGGGTCCTGGGATCGAGCCCCGCATCGGGCTCTCTGCTCAGCGGGGAGCCTGCTTCCCCTTCTTTCTCTGCCTGCCGCTCTACCTGCTTGTGATCTCTTTCTCTTCAAATAAATAAAATCTTTTTAAAAAAATAAAAAGAATTGGTATACCCATATCCTTTTCTGAAGTTGTTTGTGTAATAATAATAGTTCTTGTTTTTATTTCTAAATTATTTTTATTACCATATAATGTATTTGCCCCAGGGGTACAGGTCTGTGAATCGTCAGGCTTACACATTTCACAGCACTCACCCTAGCACATACGTTCCCCAATGTCCACCACCCAGCCACCCCATCCCTCCCCCACCCCGCCCAGAGAACCTCAGTTTGTTTCGTGAGATTGAGTTTCTTATGTTTGTCTCCCTCCTGATCCCATCTTGTTTCATTTTTTCTTTTCCTGTCCCCCAATGACCCCCCACCCTGCTCTCAAATTCCTCATACCAGGCAGATCATATGATAATTGTCTTTCTCTGATTGATTTCACTCAGCATAATACTCTCTAGTTCCATCCGTGTCATCACAAATGGCAAGATCTCGTTTTTTGATGGCTGCATAGTATTCCATTGTATATATATATACACCACATCTTTATCCATACATCTGTTGGTGGACATCTAGGTTCTTTCCATAGTTTGGCTATTCTGGACATTGCTGCTATAAACATTGGGATGCACGTGCCCCTTTGGATCACTACATTTGTATCTTTAGGGTAAATACCCAGTAGTGCAAGTGCTGGGTCACAGGATAGCTCTATTTTCAACTTTTTGAGGAATCTCCATGCTGTTTTCCAGAGTAGCTGCACCAGCTTGCAATTAGTATTTCTTCTTTATTTTTTAAAAAAGATTTTATATATTTATTTGACAGAAATCACAAGTAGGCAGAGAAGCAGGCAGAGAGAGAGGGGGAAGCAGGCTCCCTTGGTGAACAGAGAGCCTGATGCGGGGCTCGATCCCAGGACCCTGGGATCATGATCTGAGCTAAAGGCAGAGGTTTTAACCCACTGAGCCACCCAGGCGCCCTAATTAGTTATATTTTAAATGAATTTCCTTCTTCCTGGTGTTAGTGATCTGTGTCTTCCTTCTCTCTTTGGTCAATCTAGCCAGAGATTTACCGATGTTATTGCTGCTTTTAAAGAAGTAGCTTTCATTTTCCTTGATTTTGCTCTATTTATTTTCTGTTTCACTGAAGCAGAATCATTTTATTTCTTTCCTTCCACTTTGAGCTAACTTCCCTTTCCTTTTCTGGCTTATTCAAGTGGAAGCTTATATCACTAGTTTTAGGCCGTTTTTCTTTTCTCATATAAATACTTAAAAGCTAACATTTTTCCTTGTGGTACTGCATTAGCTGAATTCCACAAATGTTGATATGTTGTTTTCATAATCATTCAAGGAAAGGTATCTTCTGATTTCTTTCTTTCTTTCTTTCTTTCTTTCTTTCTTTCTTTCTTTCTTTCTCCTTCCTTCCCTCCTTCCTTCCTTCCTTGTTTCTTTCAGACAGAGGGCATGTGGTGGTGGGGGGCCAGGGAGGGAGAGAGAATCTTCGCAGGCTCCACACCCAGCACAGAGCTCATTGGGAGGTTTGATCTCATGACCCTGAGATCATGACCTGAGCCGAAACCAAGAGTTAGACACTTAACCTTTGAGCCACCCCAGTTACCCCTGACAGTATTTTCTGATTTCTTGTGATTTTTTTCTTTGATTGTGACTTATGTAGAAGTCTATTTGATTTCCAAATAGTTGAGGCATTTTTCAAATACATTTTTATTACTGATTTCTCAATTAGTTCCATTATGTAATCAGACAACATATGCTGTATATTAACACTTTCAAATTCAGGACTTGTTTTATGGGCCAAGTGACGGCTTATCTTTGTGAATGTTCCACATGCCCTTGGGAAGTATTTGTGCTGTGCCGTTATTTGGGTGTGAGCACTCTATACGTGGCACTTAGGTCACATTACTGATGGGCTTGTTGAAGTATCCTCTGTCTTTCCTGATTTCCTTTCTACTTTTTGTCACTGAGAAACGAGTGTTGAACTCACTAATTATAACTGTGGATTTGTATTTTTCTCCTTTAACGTTGTCAACTTTTATGTGTTTTGCAGCCCTGGTTTTAGGTACATAAACATTTAAAATTGCTGGTTTTCTTGTGTCCCTGTGTTTATCTCCGGTATTTTTTCAAGCCCGAGATCCTCTGTGTCTGAGAGGTGATGCCTCTGTCTCGGGGCTTGATTAGTGCTTCCAGGGCACAATGGTTCTTTCTCCTTTAACCTAAGTATGTTAGCATATTTAAAGTGTGTTTCTTGGAGACAGCTCATTGTTGGGTCTTAACTTTTTCATCCAGTCTGGTAAGTAGTATTTGTACTTAGTCTAAACTTTGTTTGCTTTCAATATTGATGTGGCTGATTTTATTTATTAAAATATTTTATTTATTTATTGGGCAGAGAGAGCAGAAGCAGACGGAGAGGGAGAAGCAGGCTCCCCACGGAGCGGAGGCTGATGCGGGGCTGGATCCCAGGACCCTGGGATCATGGCCTGAGCTGAAGGCAGAGGCTTAGCCCACTGAGCCCGCAGGCGCTGACTTTAAAACTCCCACCCCTGCTGTTGCTCTGTTGCTCAGCGGCTTTGTCCCCATTTTCCTGACTTCTTCTGGGTTGAGTAGTTGTTGGTACTTCACTTCATCTCCGTTTTCCTATTTGCTGTCCCTATTTGTTTACTTCGTTGCTCTCTGTTTTACAGTGTGTATGCGTGTCCCCTGCCCATCCTTTCTGTGTCCTTTGTTGTACGTTTTACTGTTAAATATGTTCTTAGGAACATACCATAATTACTTTTACTTTACACAGTAATTTTTTTTATTTTATTTTTATTTTTATTTTGAGAGTGCGTGCTTGCGTAAGTGGGGGGAGGGGCAGAAGGAGAAGCAGGGTCCCTGCTGAGCAGGGAGCTGGACAGAAGGCTCCAACCCAGGACCCTGAGATCATGACCCGAGCCGAAGGCAGACACCCAACCGACTGAGCCACCAGGTGCCCCTATTTTAATGCAATTTTAACATTAGAAGAAAGAGGCTTTGACATTTACTCACACATTTACTATTTCTGGCCCAAGCTTACATTTTGTTTCCTGCAGCCTGAATAATGTGCTTATCATTTCTTTTATTGCAGGTGCCTCAAGGCAAGTTTCAGCTCTGGTCTGCTGAAAATATCTGTGTTTTGTCTTCAGTTTTGAAAGATACTTTTGCTGGACATGAAGTTTTAGGGTGACGGGTTTTCTTTCTTCACCTTGAAGATGTCCTTCCATTGCCCTATTACTTCTGATGAACATTTGCAGTCATCTCTGGCTTTGTTTCTTGTTCTATCTTTTTCTCCTCTAGGTGCTTCTAAGATCTCATCAGTGGCTTTCGGCCACTTGGCTATGATGTGCATTGGTATGTTTTTGTTTTCATCCCAGTCGGGGTTTATTGGCTTTGTTATTGGTTTTGGATTTATTATTTCCATCAAATTTAGAATCTTTCCCATTATGGCTCTTTCTCTCTCTTTTTAAGATTTAATTTTTAAGTAATCTGTACCCCCAGCGTGGGGCTCGAACTCACAGTCCCGAGATTAAGCTTCACATGCTCCTACTCCTCCAAATGAGCCCATCTGGCTATTACACTGAGTGGTGGTGGGTGCTGGTGGCACAGGGGCCAAGTCTTGCCCTGCCTTGGGGTGTGGGGAGTGCCCTGGTGTGTAGCGTGCGGTGGACACGTGCTGTGGAACAAGTCGCTGGGGCAGTAGCAGGAGAGGGAGGCTGGGTGGAGCACAGTCCCAGGTGAGGCGAAAGGGCTCAGGGCTGGGTGTCCACACACCCCAGGGGTATAGGGACATCTGATCAGGGCTTGGGCTAAGAGGTCTCCCACGGCAATGGACTGCTGGGATCCCAGTTGCTCCCCATGCCCGTGTCCCCTCACCAAGGGAATGAGCCAAAGCCACGTGCCTGAGCACGTGCCTTCATGGTTAAGGTCTTCCCGTCCATGAACCAGGTTCACTGGACTTCCCATGAGGGGTCT